CGAATAAGGCTGTAACAGCAAAACCCGCTGAGGTTTGTCGTATTTACGGCTGCTACTGATGATTATTTCCATTGCTGACTGATCAGTTGAGGACTTTTCCTTTAATCGATCAGTTGTTTGGTCTATAAAATGTCAGAAAATGCTGAAAAATGTCAGTGTTCCACAAAGCCGAACATGTCAGATGTCTTGTTTTGTCTACAATCCAAAAGGTATTTGTTGGGATCTTCGGGGCTCAACCAAGTCCAGCGGTTTCTAGACTTCAACCTGATAATTGCACCATTTTCCAGTCATTTCAGGGTAAAATTGAAACCAAATGTGAGACACTGTGAACTGGGCAAAGTGAGGTCATCCTATTTTCCTACCATGTGCCGTGGAATAAATCTTATTTATAGCATTTCCAAAGCTGGACTCGTGTAAAGCTGTTCCTTGGAAATATTTGGTTTTTTCCCCCATTTTTTTTTTTACAGAGAGTAACTTGGGTGACCGACCCTTTAAACAGCAGAGATGCAGGTGATGGTGAAGATTCTCCCAATGTTTCTGATGTACGATGTCAGACTGATTGTAAGGGTTTTAACGCGATAGATAAATACATCCACAGGGATATTTTTATATTTTACCTATTTCTGTTAAAAAAAACAAAACCTTTAGGAGGCCAAGGGCTTAACAGTGACGTCGACATACAGTTAATTAATGTTTGCATTCACCTCCGCTATATAGGAAAACAGTTTGAGCTGCAGATAAAGGTTTGCGATAAGATAAGCAAAGCTGCCCTCATTAGCTAGTTAGCTTAGCACGAAGGCTGGAAACAGGCAGGCTGACTCTGTCCAAAGGAAGGAAAATCTGCCTCCCAGCTTCTGTTAAACTGACCAATTAACATGTTGCATCGGTTTTGTTTGATGTGTACACAAAGTGAAGTATGCAAACAGCACTGTGTGGCTTTATGAGGGGACGTGGCAGACTATTTCTAGGCCAGGTGCTGCCACTTCCTGGAGCTACGCTAACCGGCTGTAGCTTATATTAACCACTCAATCACAAGATCGATGTGAACCTAATGCGTTAAGTTAACAACAATGCCCAAAATGCCAAACTAGTCCTTTAAAAGAACTTTGTAGTTTGTTGGATTGAAGCAGATTTTGCAGCTGCAGTTTTTTATTTAATGATAAGCCCAAAAGTCCAATATTGACCTAATTGTCTAACTCATCTGGTTGGAGTTTGCTTGTTACTGTAAGGTCAGTGTTACAGCAGTAGTTGTACTCCTTATGGACGTGTAGTTTTTGCTAATATACCACTTTCTACTCTTCTTGGACTCCATTTAGAGGACTTGTTTTATACATGCACAGTAGGATGTCATCTACATATTCCAGGAATGAGAACTGCTGCTGAGTATTGGTCCTCAGGAACTCTTGCAGACTTGTGGAGATTAAAATGTCAGAAGGAACCCAACGTAGCCGTGGGTGTGTGAAAAGGATAAAAAGTAATTCAAGCTTTCCACGTCCGGATATCCACAAGAGTCCACAACAATATGTGTGATGTAAACGTTGCTGCAGCACTGTTAATTGCTGTTGTCAGTTACCCAACTAATCTGCACAAACACACCCAGAAAATGACTGCAAATCATTTAAAAGTTGCAGCTACACCAAAGAAAAACCATTTATTAGTGTGAGGACACGGCTATCCTGGCATGTGTGCAATGAAATACCCAGTTAATGACGTCTGAATATTGAAACACTGATGTATTGAAGATGAAACCTAGAGGTGGAAGACTGTGGGGCTGTTATGTAAAACTTTACCCAACAAGACAGTCAGTGCCATAAATAGTGCGGTCCACAATGTGTGACTGCAGGCAAGCTAGCTGCACATACGCCAGGAAAACAAGAGGTGCCTAAAACAAATCCTTGTCATCAGGAGAGCCTGTTTGAGGCAATCATCCACACCTTTAGAATTCACCATTAAAAGACTTTTAATTGAAGTCGCTGCTGTTGGACTCTGGCGGAGCTTCGATTTGGTCTTGATGGACCCTAAACCCAGTGAATTCTCCAGATAGCCCGTGCAACGTCCGCCCAATGTGCTCAACGTTAGCGCGGTGCTGCAGTGCGATCTGTAACGAACAGCTTTTACCTGTAAAAAGCACAAAGCTACGGCCTTTTAGGAGCTTTGTGGGTTTTTCTGCGCTCATATATGTCAAATACAAAAGCTTGCACATTGTAAGTTTGTATCGCTAGAATCTGCCTTTATGCTTTCTGTGTGAAGCCCAAACTTTGCGTTGCATGAAGACTGTACTCATGCACAGAATACGTAGATGCTAACCAGGTGGACTAGAAGTAGCGTAGCAGCGTCAGCTTCGAGTACATGGTGTCTGCAACTGTATATGAGGCATCCACGAGGGAGTATACTGAAGGCTTAAAATCACAGACGATGTGGTATAGAATAGTCTTCCTATTGTTGAGGACGTTTTTGGAATGTAGAGTACGTCCACGACTCTCTTTGTCTTGGAGATTTTGAGTTTCTCTGGCTAAACACCGATTTGCCTCTTTCGAGTTGAGGTCGCTCCTGTTGACCTCCAGTTTTTCAGTTCTTGACCTTTGGTTATAAACTGAGGCCGTCTGCATTTCGCCCTGTTTGGCTTCTGTCTTGTTTTTCTTGTTTTTAACGCTGCCTTGCATTAAGTTTCACTCTGCAGGTTGCCTAAACACACTCGGGTTGATAATGTCCACAGTGTTTGTTTGTTAGAATAGCAGAGGTCTGTCTGAACATGTGGGCTCTCGATCATTAGGAGGGTTTTTGTTGGCTGACTGGGATGCTGGTCTCAGTGCTGACGGTGGCGGACATCTTTGACCTAATTTTGACAGTAAATCCACTCCTCCTGACAGTATGTACAGGTTTTCGAGGCAGGTTGTTCCGAGCACCTCTGGGAATCTGCCACATGTTCCCTCTACAGTTTGGAAGTCCCGAAGGATTCCTAAACTAACTCGGAGATGTTTGGCACCGGAGCTCCGTGGGGCCCGTTGCATCTGTTGCGAGACTCCCTGTTCTTGTCATCGCTCGGTGCGCTTCTTTATGACTTTGGCTATGAGTTTGAGTCCGTTGTCATGCTGCGGAGTGACGGATGGATAACCGTTGTGCAGGACTGTAAACACGGACAAGGTTACGCGCCGCTGCGCCTCGGTGATATGAGTACATGCGAGCGAGCGTTTTTTTAGATGCGGCTCAGGTTTCAAGATTTCCATGTCCCCTGTTGTGTACCTGATGCAGAACAAAAGCATTGTGCTCCACCGTAAGAACACAATGCCGACTATTAAACACTCGAGTACACATGTAATGATCGAACAACAATTACCGGAGAGATTAACTCTGTTTGTTCTGCAGATTTGGCTTTAAATCGGGCCACTTGGCACTGATAGAAACGGACTGACTTTCACTTACATTTGGACTTTTTTTGTCATAAAGGCGTCACACAGAACAGCATTTGAGCATCTGTCAAGGAAAATATGATGTTTTTATATGTTTTAATCTTCATTGTTAGCTGACATTTATGTATATTTATAGAGGAGTTATTTTTAAATCTATGTGCTGTTTAGTATTTCTGCGTTGGCCTGATCTCCCAAGACGTCATTAAGGAACTTTGAGTCTTTTGGACCATGTTAGAAGTAGATATATGTGTTTTTGTATAACTGCTCGTCCAAATGTTTAGTAAAGTAGTGGTCAAATATTTAGTATTTGCAAACTAGTTGATTAACCGTCTGATCCTCGAGTAGTTTCCGGGCGTTTGTGTGCTCCTGTCACATTTTTACTCACTGTGAGCTCTTTTTTTTTTTACTGCAATATAAAGTCCTGCACCTCTATGGAAACAGTACAACCATGAGTAGAAGTAGAGAGAAGTCAGAAATGTCCTACGTGCAGCATAACACAGTTATAGTGGCAACATCATTAAAAAAAAAAACTGAATTTATTTATTTTAGTTTACAAAAAAATGCAAAAACATGGAATCTACATGTACAACATTTACTTTTAAAGTGTCCACCAATCTTACAAACACTGTAAATCTCTCTATATACTATAAATATTTCTTCTGTCTCCTCTGGCTAAGCACAGCCTGCAGTTAAGCCAAGTTCTGCCAAAAAGTCCCAGAATTTTTGCCATGTGACCGTCAGCTACAGCGGAGTCCCTCATGGGTTCACATCTGCACCGAAATCTGCAGAATTTTTTGTTTTTTACAGAATCTGATTCGAGCGAATCATGAATTTTTGGCGATTTTTTTTTTTTCCAAATGGCAGCTACAGAATAAGTTGATGAAATATTGCAGTTTTAAGCTCGTATTTGCAATATTTTCGCGGCAGAACAGCAAATGACAGATAAGCAGAAAATTAAACATCATTTCTGTATTTACAGTTTCTGACTCTGGTGTAATTTTGACACCTTTCAAATCCAACTGCCTCAGAATCACTCATTTTACACCCCACACACCGACTTTACAAGCTGCTGCACTTGACTTTGTGTTGCTTCTGTGGCCGCTCAGTTTATTCTAAAACAAAGATGTAAGAGGACGACACAAGCGTGACCTTGGCGACGTGGTCGGAGGTGTGCGGCGGAGACGAGGCTCCGGATTGGACGCTGGCCGTGGGTGTTGGCAGCCGACATGGAAAAGTGTCCGCGCAGGTTTTGGCTGCGTGTTATTTACGACTCATTGATTCATTTCAAGTTATGGTCTCACCAAACACAAATAAACTCCGAGGCGACGGCGCTGCAGGTTGGGAGAGTCGCTCTGTGCGTTCACAAGTTTGTTTAATCGAGTTTCGTCTGCAGGAATTAGCTGAAGGGCCTCAGAGGCTGACAGCTGAGTAGAAAGAGTATTACAGTGTCGGTGTATGTTATGGGAAGACCCCCTGCCCCGGCGGCCCTTGTTTTGATCTGCTTTCAGGGGAAGCCATTGTGTTCTGAGGTATTTCTCCTGCTCGCTGGTGTGCGAGACCAAGGGCAAGGATGTTTGCCCCGACCACTGGGGCCACATTGTGTTCGTAAGATGAAATTGTTGCCTTGGTCAACATTAAGAGAGCTGCTGATTGGGTTAATGATTCCTGAAAACAAAGTGAGTAGTGTTACTTGGAGGTTACCTTAGAGCTAATCTTGCGTTGCCATAACTTTAAGTCCCATGAGACTCAGGCGGGGCGGGAGAGGCGGGGAGCCAGGGTCATGCTGGTCGACTGTAGAGGTCAAGTTTTCCCTTTGTAGAGTCTCGCAGGGCTTAAAGCGCCTGTTTATCTGAAATAGCTGAAGCTGTGGAGTAATTTCTACGCTTCAAGGTCTCAGCTTTTACTGTAGGAAGCAGAACTTTAAACGCTCTGTGTTTTATCTTTTACAGGTTGAACGGGAACGTCGTCTCGCCCTCTTACTCTAATCTCCTGTTGTCCTTTATTCCCATAAAAGACCCCACAAAAATTAGGTGACCACCACCACCCAACCTTTCGTTATCAGTGGAAAAAAGGAAGTGGAGGACTTTAATTAGTAAGGAGCATGGAGGAAGGTTTGGGGTTTTGTGGATGTTCAGGTTTGAAGCTGTACCTTAATTCATTGGAACATTTTAGCGGTTTTTCACAGATTTGTTTATGCTTTGGTTTTATATTTTAGCACTTTACTGTTTTAGTTCAGCTTCTTGATGCTCTCGCAAACTCTGGAGCCCGACCAGCGCTGGATTTTTGGGGGGCGATGTCGATTCCTAGATAGCAACAATCCCTGACAGTGACGTATCGACAAGTTCTATTCAAACAGGAAAATGATTGGTCGTTGTGTCTGAACCTTTTCGCGATGTGTTTTTCAAACTAGCTGGAAACTTGCCGTGAAGAAGCCACTTGATTCTGCACCGTCATCTGCTACATGCGCTGCAGAAAGTGTTGGAAGCAGTGGAGCCGCTCTGCTGGACAAACGGCGCAATGACGCCATTTCTGAATTATAGCAAGCGTCCTTATTGAACTATGTGTGCCGCTCCTTGCAGCACACGCCGCCGGTATCGAGTAGCAGCTTGTTAAATGAAGGTTTTACACCCATCCGGTGCCCTAGGTCAGTACTTCATACAGTTGCGAGTACACAAGGGTCACTTTAGGTCGGCATGTTGTAATCTCATCTCCCCCGAGTCCACGAGAGTCTGTGAGCCGGCCAAGATTTGTGTTGCTCTGCACGGCCAGTACGTGTTCGGGTTATGAGCAACTGGGCATCAAGTAAACTAGAGAAGCAGTTAGTCAGCAGCACGTCTCCATGTCTGCAAAGGAGCGTAATGAAGGCCTCAGCAGCAGGAAGTGGTGCAGAATCTGTCCATCGAGGGATTCAGCGAAACTGTTGCTTTTCCAAGAGATGTTGTGCTGTAAAACAGGATAAGTGTGTGTCCTTACGGGCCGACGCCGCCACATGTTTCGCCATATGCTGCCGGTGTGTGCTGCCACCGAGGCGTCCCCGTCGGAGCAAATTCGGATTTTGCAGCTGCCAAGACGTTTGCAAATCCGAGCTCCCGGCGGGGCGTCGCATCGGTGGGCTCTAAGTTTTTATCCGGTCCGTCGCTGTGGTTGTTCATCATTCATTCAGGGGTGGGAGAGTGAAACCGGGCCTGAGTTTCTGCCTCCCCCCCTTCACTCCACATGGACACACCCCCCATCTGTTCCTCCTTTGACGGAGCTCACCTGAAACCCAACACTCCCAGGCTTCTTGGCTCTTGTTGTGAATTCAACCTGAGATTCTGCGTCTGTGGGAAGCGACAAAGAATTCGGTCTTTTAGGCGTCCTGCCATCGCGCTAAGTCATGTTGTCCTTGGAGGAGACACACACACACACACACACACACACACACACAGTCCAGCACCGTGTAACCTGAAGTCTGATGAGCTTTTGCCAGTTGGACGATTTGATTATAGAAATGCTATTTTGGTTTCTGGCCTTCAGCTCGCTGCTCGCTTACTGCAGAGACAAACCAACACACAGGACAGGTGTGTTGGTTTGTCTCTTCAAGCTTCATGTGCTCATAAATGTAGAATTTTTTTTTGTATTGTGATTATTTCTGGTGGATTTGCATCATCGTGTTTGACAGAAGCAGCAGATGAGCAACTTTACAACGGTCCTTGAACTACTCATCTGTCGGGGTCATCGGAAAAGCTTGAAGCTTAAAATCAGGATTTTTCATCAAAGTCACTTTATTCTACATGTCTGGTTTAAAAATTAGCCAAAAATTATTACTTTGCTCAAATCAGATTCTGTAAAAAACAAGAAATTCTACTTTTTCCGGGGCAATAGAGAAACCAAACGCAACATAGCTGCGATGAACAGTCATGTGACAAAAATTCAGAGAGTGTTTGATGTCTTCTGTGTGATATTAATGAAGTTATGATGCTGTAAATCCTAAAAACCAGTTTAAATTTATACACAAATCTTGGAATCCGCATGTACAACATTTTTACTAGATGTTACCATTTTCCGACCTGCGTTTTCCATTTGTTTCCTGACCTATCTCCTCTCTGCTCTGTGTGGACACTGCCTGCAGTTTATCCTAAAACGTCCCAGAATTTTTGTCACATGACTGTTGGTCACAACGATGTCACTAATTGCTTTCTGGTTGCGCTAATTATCACTAAATTTTTTGTTTTTTACAGAATCCAGTTAGAGAAAATAGTGTGTTTTTTGATCATTTTTGAATGAAACCTGTAGAATAAAGTGATTCTGCTGACATATCGTTATTTTAAGCTTAGATTTGGTCACGTTTTTCCGTAGAACACTGCGTCACAAATGAGTAGTTCAAAGACTGCCGCTCTTGTGTGTTTATTTTTTTAAAAATAGCGTCCCTTTTAAGCCGGCTTTTATTTTAATGAGCTGTACTAAATGCATGTAGTGCATCCTGAAGCGTGCACGTCTCACTTTTTTCCATTTCACACTCATTTTGTGCTTTGTGATCGTACATTGGGCTCAAATTGACCCACACTGAGTGTCTGTACCTGAACGCAACACGCTGCTTCAGATGGAAAAAACCTTGACTTAATGTCTCTAATTATATTTTACGACAAAAATAATGCGGCTCCTATTAATTACCACAAACACTCACCACGGCTGGTGGAGGAAAGTCATGCTGATGTTTAGCTGTTGCCCTTCGGGGATCAATAAAGTTTTATGATCATCAGACATCTTGACCTTGAGGCGCCTTTAGTTGGAGTTTTGGGATGTTTTCCGCCAAAAAAAATAAAGTCTTTTAAGTGATGCTTCACCACATTTCCAGGCCCGTCGTTGGTGCAGTAATCACTTAGTCAGGTGAAGGTCGCCGTGGAGGCAAACCAAGACGTTGACATTGACTGAGCGGTGACTTTGCTTTTGTTTGACCTCTCACCGCCGTTGATCGTAAACCAGACCCGTCAGGCTCTTTGCTGGACGTTTCTCTTCTTTTTCTTTTTTCTTTATTTTTTTATTCCGGCCGGAAGCTGCTGCTCTCTTTGCGGTCAATCTGCTCGCCGCTTCATATTGGAAGCCATCAATTTAAGCTGCTTATGTGTTCTGAGGATCCTTCGTGCATTGTCGTCATGTTCAATCAATCAAAACCGGTATCTCCAGCGAGTGCTGCTGCGGACGGCCTGTAATCTGATTAGCCTGGATTAGACCCGCTGTATGGAACCGTGGAAAAAAAAAAAAAAAAGCCATAATCTCTCACTTTGATTAAAGGGCCAATGCAGGGAGTATATACACTCGGAGGATTAGATTTCCATTCACAGGGGCGGCTTTAGCACAAGTTTGAGATGTTTTCGTTAATATAAAGGCATCCACCCAGTTAAAACCAGCGTAATTACCGACACCAGTAATCCAGTGCTGCTGTACTGGTCAGTAACCAGTACACCCACCGTAAACAAATGCAGTCATTCCCCTTTGGATGTTTTTAAAATCCTCTTTTCCTTATTTGCTCATTCATTCATACATGAGTTATTTTTTTTCTAAAATTCATTTATGCAAACAAACACCCCAGAAGGACTTTTTTTTTCTTTCTTGTTTTTTTCTGACGATGTTGATTTAAGCTACAGAACAAAGTGTAAAAGATTAGCAGAATATTTAAAGCTGCGCTAATCAGTGTTTGTGTTGAAGAGGTCACGTTAACTGAGCAGCACATAGAAACAGAAAGCGAGAGTTTCACTGCCTGTCAGCTCTTATTATCCTAATTCTGTGTGTGGTTTAGTCCCGTGGTTTATTTTCTCGCTCTAGTCGCATCAATTTATCTGATAAACCAACTTTATGTTCTTACGTTGGCAGGTTTGAAAATCTATAATATTACATTTCAAAAATCACCAAAATTCCTCCATCTATCAGAGCCTGAAACTGTAAAAAACAAAGAAATCCTCATAATTTCAACGTTCCGACGGTCCTTGAAGTAACCATGTGTGACGAGCTGTTTCATCTACAAAATTAATCAAACCTTAGCTTAAAGGTGTGATATTTAATCAATGTCACGTTTACTATTCGACATAAAAAATTACCAAAAATAAACGGTTTGCTTTAATCAGATTCTGCTAAAAACAAAAAATTCTGTGCTTCTCGACACAACTGTGAAGCCTGGAGTGACTCAGCTGTGAGAAACAGACGCACTACGAAAAATTCAGGGACTTTTCAGCTGAACTGCAGGCAGTAATTCCACAAAGAAGACAGGAGAAAAGTATGGAAACAATTTTTAAAAATATAAGAAGTGAAAAATAGTATGTAGAATCATATTTTTTCTGGTGTTGATAGCATCTGTTGGGCAGGTTGATTCAATGTTTTTTTTTTTCATTTTTCTAAAATAAATAATCAAAGAAATTCAACTTGCAATTTTCCTTTTGTTTTTTTTTAACATTTATTTATTATTTTTTTCGCATTTTAATTTTTGTTACACTGCACAGTGGAGATATCTGAGTTCTCTCTACTTCTAGTCCTGGTTGTTCTGTTTCCACAGAGGTTCAGGACTTTATGTTGCAGAGATAAAAGAACCCACAGTGTGTAAAAATGTTATTTGCACTATTTACGTTTTTTTTTTTAATACTCGGCTCTGTGTAAACACTTCCTGCAGTTCAGCCGAAAAGTCTCTGAATTTTTGTCATGTGATTTTTGATCGCAGCTGAGTCGCTAATGGCTTCTCAGTTGCCCAGAAGATTGTAGAATTTTTTGTTTTTTATAAAATGCGATTAGTGCCAGTGATATATTTTTGGCAATTTTTTAAATATTAAATCTTGATTATGTCGCAATTTTAAGCTTAGATTTGGGATAACTTTCCCAGTTGAACTTAAAGTCACACATGATGAGTTCACAGACTGTCAGAAAGTTGAAAACCCAATGATTATTTCTGTTTTGACAGTTTCTGGCTCGGATTAAAGGCAAATGATCAAATTATGTTTTTAGATAGAACATGCGTCTTTAACCCATTGATTAGTTTTAGAGCTCAGATGGTTAATGGAAACGTTGTATTCCCTGTTTTTCTTATGTTTCTTTCTCCTCGTATCGATCTCCCTGAAGATAAATTCATTTGGGTTTTTTAAATCATGTTAATCCTGCTAAATGCACTTAATGCCACAGAAGGAAGTCGTCCCACTAATGTCATCACGAGGCTGAAACCTGATCTGACAAAAGCAACGACAAAGACTCAGAGCGGCATCATTTATTGATGCTGATTTTTCTTTCAGTCTCACAGCTGAGGTGTCCGGCTGCCTCTTAAAGCTCCGTTGGTCTGAAGTGAAGCTCCTGCTGCTGCTTGTAAGACTTCTTCAGTCCTTCATAGGATGTTTTAATGGGCGGCGATGCTCAGAGGAATCCCTCGTAGGTAGGGTTTGTTTTCAGGACTCTGAGGTCGGACGAGGGGGATTGTGTTTTTGTGTTCTACGGTGTTGTTGACTCGCTGCCCAGTGGGTTTCTGGAACAGATGAGCGTCCGGGGGGCAGATGTTGGTTCTCAGAAAACAGTCGGGCGTGACCGGTTAACTGTCACGAGGACAATGTTATCAGTGGGAACCACTCAGCAACAGGAGAGGACAAGCCGCTGGAGTTTATTGACGAGGCCGACTTGTTTTACTGTTTGGTTTTTATTCAGTGCGTCTCTTTTTAGTTAATTTGAAAAAGCAGCTTTGAAAAGCTGTTAAAAGAAGAGCTGGAACAACGAAAGGCACATTTTCTTTTAAAAATAGCCAAAATGAAACTGTAAAAATGGAAAGAATCGATGGAACTTCAACTTTCCGACAGTCCTTGAACTACTCATCTGGAAACTGGAAACTAAATCATTTTTTTCTACATGTCTCATTTTTTAAAAAATCGCCTAAAATTAAGTGTTTGCTTTGACCAGATTCTGCAAAAAACAAATAATTCTGGGCTCCCTGTCGCAACCACTAAGCCATTAATGAGTCAGCAGCGATTAACAGTTATTTTACAAAAATTCAGAGTTTTTTTGGCTAAACTGCAAACAAAACAAATGATAACATAAATAGTAAAATATCGCAGTGAAGAATGAGCCCACAGTGAGTAAAAAAAATATGAGCGGAGCAAAAAGCACCTTACAAACTCCTCAGGTTTAAAAAAAAAACTTGGTAAGCAGCTAGTTTTAGTCATTTTTTTAAAAATAAAAATAATCTTTACTGGTTGTGGCTTCTCAGATATCAGGATTTAATGCTTTACTTGTCTGTCTTTGACTTTCAGATGTTACTGTGACAAAAAAATCAATAAAATATTCAGTATCTGAGTGTTTCTGTCAGTAGCGTGGACCCCCTTCAATCACATGACGGCTTCATTCTCTAAAATCTCTTTTCGCCACCGACCCTGCAGCTGGACGACGCCGTGCAGTGTTCAGGAGAGATAAGAGATTTTCCTTCTAGATCTGCTCAGAATGGGGCCCCAAAGAGAAGAAAAGAAGCGTTTTAAACTGACCTACATCGGCATGGAGGAGGAATTATTCTGCTCCTGTTGTTCACAGAACATAAACAATATAACGGAGGTCTTAATGAAGTAGTGGAGAGTCTGACTTTAAGCTCTTAGTGTTGGTTACTGACACAGCAATGTAGAAATACTTCATTACAAGTAACGTTTCTGCATGAAGACTTCAATAAAAGCTGCGGCAGGTTTATTTGTACACGTTTCATACATGAGAGCAGGTCAAAGTGCTACAGCTTCATAAAAACACAGTAAAGGCCACAAAGATTTAGGTTTTTAAGGGATTTTGCACAGAGGAGTGGAGAATTTTTAGGTTCATTCAGATTGTGGTTGTGCCGGTGGTGTATTTATGGCAAATTTTTTTAACAGGAGAAGTAGAATAAAGTGATTTTAATGTAATATTGTGACTTTTAGCTTAGAGTTGGCTCAGTTTTGGCGTCATGTCACAGATGAGTAGTTCAAAGACTGTCAGGAAGTTGAAGATCTGATGATTCCTTTTGTTTTTACAGATTCTGGCTCTAAAAAACGGCGTAAATTTGGCGTTTTTAATAAACAAAACCTGTCTGTCTGACCCATAGACTGTAGAATACTGAACCTTGTGTCTTGTCTCTAACTGGTGCGATCCCTGCTGGAAGCTTTCTCACAGCTCTGCTCAGGAAACCACTGAGTACAAACCTCCAATAATTGCCTTCTTGTGATTGTGCAGCGCAAATACGACAAAAACTTGTTGCTTTTTCCGCCTGTTTGTGCAAAACTACACACGGATTTTTTTTTTTTTCATGCAGCTTGTAGCAGCAGCGTGACGTGTGTTGGCTTTTTTGTTTGGTTTGTACACAGCAGCACCTGATTTGAACTGTGGCGGCCGCCGCCTTGTTTCCACTGCAGCCCGAGGGCGTGCAGGTGTGGGCTGAAGGTGAACGGTGGGCGGAGCCAGGCTGGTCTCTCAGGTGAAGCGAGTGTGTGTCCTCTGGTGTGGGTAGCTCAACGTCTGGGCGCGTGTTTGCACACGTTTCCACCAGGATACGGACGTCGGCCTTCAGTCACGTTACTGCTGCTGCTGCCTGTGGAGGACGAAGCCTTTAAATCCCACGGCTGTGTGTAAACTGTCAATATGGCTTCCTTCATCTGCACCGTCTGCAGCCACGCTTTCCCTCTTCATTTAATTCCAACCTTAAAGGGCTTCAGAGAAAAGCAGCTGATCAATAATCAATCACAGGACAAATTGCATTGTGCAGGTTTCTGAGTTTTAATACAGTTTTTTTTCTCCCCCTCTGCGGCTGCAGTGATATTCAGGTGGGCCAGTGATGCCGCCCCCGGCCACGAGTCCGCCCGCCGTGACCCCACCAGACGGCGGGTGGGGGTGGGCGGTGGTGTTGGGCTCCTTCATCTCCATCGGCTTCTCCTACGCCTTCCCCAAAGCCATCACGGTGTTCTTCAAGGACATCCAGATCATCTTCAACGCCTCCTACAGCCAGATCGCATGGATCTCCTCCATCATGCTGGCCGTCATGTACGCCGCAGGTGAGTCCGGGGCGGCTTTGTTTGAGACGGGTCGAACCAAAGTGGTGCAAAACTCCACAAAGCACAGAAACTAGGAGATAAGTGTGAATAAACAGACAGTAAAATAGTAAATAATAAAAGATTCAATAGAAGCAGTTCTCACATGGAAACTGTTCCAGAAATTAGGAAGGAAATTCACCAAAAATTAACCGTTTATACCAGACATATTGTGTAAAAACCAAGAAATTCTGCGTTTCTCTGCGCAACAGAAAACCCGTTCATGACTCAGCTGCCACCAACAGTCACTTTGTAAAAATTCAGGGACTAGTCGGCTGAACTGCAGGATGTGTGTGAAAAGTGTGGAAGCAAATAAAACATGTCAGGAGTAAAATATCTGTTATTTTCCAGTTTTGGTAAAACCTGTGGACACAACATGTTGCTCATGTTTATTCCAGGTTTCTTTCTTTTTAGAAAATTAATAAGCAGTTGGTATGGTTTGGTTAAATTACAGATAATATCTAGTAAAATTACAGACAAAAAAAATTACTAAAAACGTTGACTGCAAAAAAAAAAAGTAAATAAATAAATAATGTAAACGATAAAAGTCTGTGTTTTTCGAAGTGGTATTTCATTCTTTCACAACTTTTGGCTGTAAAATTCCTTTTCTATGTATAAACTGTATTTAAATCAGCAAAAAGCATTTTCATTTTACAGATAATCGCTGTTTTTTTTGTTTTTTTAAATTCTGTTTATTAAGGAGGAAAAAATGATAAATACATTTACGCATGACAGTTATTTTCCTTGTTTTTTAAAAAAATTCCAGATAATATCTAGTCAATTCAATAATAATAATAACAAAGGCATTCATTTTCTTGTTCACTGTAAAACAAATTGGACAAAATTGTAAATGGTGTCAACAAAAAAAATCTGCATATTCACTCATAGTCATATGTAGTTTTACAATGTTTAACAATGTAAAATTACACAATTAACTGCATTTAAATGTGCTAAAAATATGATTTAATGGATTTTGAATCACAGTCTAGCGTTTTTTATAAGTTGTTTTTTCTGGTACCCTTACTGCCAGATTTTCGCCTTTTTTTATTATTTTGGTTTAGTTTTTTTTTTTTTTCTTTGCAAGTTTTGCTGTTTCTACATCAGTTAACAATAAAATAATATATTTTTTTCTGTGATTTTACTAGATATTTTGTGTAACTTGACAAAACAGGGAAAATCTATAAAAATAACAATAAATTGCCCAAATGTATATTTTAAAAAATGGGCTCTGGGTTTGGGTTTACAGTAAAAACCTGTCAGGAAGAAAAATGAAGCAGGAAATCGTACAGACATTTGCTGTTATTTTTACAGGTTTTACAGTTTGCTAACTTTACAATATTCACTTGTTTTTTTTTTTTATCCTATTTTTTTCTGACACCGTCGCTGCCAGACTTTCACCAGATTTTTTTTCACGGCGTAGAAAAGATGCTCCCTGTTTCCATGTTGTCGTGGTTTCTTCTACCCCGTGGAGCTCTCCGGCGGCTCTCACGCCTCCTGCTTTAGATTTATTTTACCTCTCGATGCAGCCACAGAGATGGAAGCAGGTTGTGTCATCGCATCGTGACCCGGATTACAAATCACGCAGCATCGCACGCTGAGGCTGCCGACAGCCAGAAAACCAACAAACGGCACGTCGCAGCTCCTCTCGCTGTCACTGACTCGCTTTAATCTGCAAAAACAATCTACGAGGAGCCTGTTGAGTTTACAGTTGTTTGTCCACACAGTAAAATTCCAAATAAACTTCTATCAAATTCAGATAAATTCAATAAAACCTTTCGACGTCTGAACCATCATCCCTGTAGCTGGTCTCTGATTTCAGTACTTTCACTTTCGGAGGGTCAGGCCGTGTTTCCAGCAGCTCCTCCTTTCCACCATATTGCTCCGATCACCTGCTTTATTTTCCCGTCCTGGCTCCGGTCCTGCAGCCTTCTGCTCGGCTGCCATCTGTCCTCGCTGTAATCCTCCTGTCACTATATCTGTGCTGTTGTCACCATCTGCAGCGGCCTGGAAAGCTCATTTCCTACGCCGAGCGGTGCAGCTTCCATTCAGGGCAAACAAAGACTTTAGTAAATTCATTCATTAAAAATGAGTTCGGTACGTAAAGATGAGGTCGTTTAGAAACACTGAGTCACCGTGACGCACACTCACTTTGTCCTGAAGTAACACACGAGTGTGATTTTTGATTTTTCACACAGGATTTGTCACATTTCTACTCAGTGGGAGCTCATTTTTCACTGCTACATGAAGTCCTGTTTTTTTTATAGCAGAGAAAGATGTCATGGCCAGAAGTAGACGGAACTCAAACATGTCTGCAGTATGACACTTAAGATGCCATAAATCATAAAAAAATACAAATGTCATTCATTATTTGTTTTGCAAAAATGTCAAATGGAATCGACATGCACAATATTTTTCCAAGGTCCCACCGATGTTACCAAGACTGGAATCAAATGATGACTCCACACACTCACACACTATAGAAAGTTTAATATTTGCAATTTTAATTAGTGTTTATAGGTTTCTGTGTAAACGCTGCCGCAGTTCAACTGAAAAGTTCCTCAGTTTCTGTCACATGACCGTTCGTCACGGCTGAATCACAGGATTTTTATTTTGTTATAAAATCTGGTTCGTGAAAATGATTTTATTGTCCGACATTTTTAAAAATGAGACGTTTAGAACGAAGTGATTTTGATAAAAATATCACAAATTCAAGTTTAGATTTGAATGAGTTTCCTGATGCACATTACAGATGAGTAGTTCAAGGATCACAGGAAATTGGAAACAATCTTCCTGTTTTTTATGGTGTAATTTCCTAAATTGTTTCTGAAGACAAACATGCCTTTCACCCACTAGCAGGTGATACTGACGAAAACATTTTTTAAACATCCTCCCTAGTTTGGCAGCATGAAAACACAGCTACCCACACAGTTCTTGTTTCTTGGTTTCTACAAGCTTCCCTGAATGTCACTTAGCCATACAGTTTCCACAGAACTCTGACTTGTGTTCATCCCATCAAAGCTAGCATTAGCCATGTTAGCTGCGCATCATGCTAACACTAAGGAGTTTCCTATTGTTGCAGTGACATTACCATCAAAAATACAAATATATATCACTGGCTCTTCAGTTCCTCAGATGCTGGGAGTGCATCAAGACTGTTGTGTTCACTCTTTTAGACATTTTAGAGCAGCAGCAGCACAAATGAGGGGACTGGATTATACATATTTTTAGCTAAACAGTAAACTAAAGAAACTAAACCAAATTCTTACTGGCTGGAGGCTAACTAGTCGTCTGGGCCCAGAAAAGTCAAAGCAAACCTCTTCAGTGTCTGGTTCAAGGACAACAGTGAACTCTGCAATGAGAGAACAACCTGCTACCACCTGAGAATCAGCGGCTGCCGTCGTCTGCTGCAGCTTGTAAACGATAACAAGAAGGACTTTATGAACCTGAACAGGTGGCGTCCATCAGACGGGAACAAGCCGCCGTGCAGCTCAGGTTTGCTGAACGCAGCTCGAATGTTCTTCAGATTAACGTCACAAAGGTTTAACTGAGCCTCACTTTGGCCGATCGACCGCCGCTCCAGCTTCCTGATGGCCGCCTGCCGTTATCACGTGGCGTCGATACGGTCCGTTAGTGAGCGGGCGGCTCCTGTTACTCATTCATTGGCATTGATCGCGCTCATCAGCCATTCATTAAACACCTGCTCTCTTGTTCTGCCTCTTACGCAGACGATTCAATCACCGTTTGAATGTTCAACACCTTCCTAATTCCTCCTCCTCGCCGAGTGTGTTGGTGTTTACGCAGCACCGTCATGACTGTGGAGCTTCCTGCTAATGAGCCGGCAGCCTCACAAATCCAGTCGATCCAGACGACTCCGGTGACCTTTAGCTTCGTGCTAACCTTGTTTCTTCAAGCTGACCACCTTCTTCATGCAGTAAACCAACAGAACAAGCTCATTGATGGTGTTCTTCCTCCTCGTTCAACTCTTTAACCGAAAGTCCTTCAACCGTTTGACGCCAGTTGATGGTTTTGGTGCATCTTCAGGTGGTAAAAACACCAAATCTGTGTTTGCTGGACGACTTTAAACTGCCCATTGGATGTCTTCACTCAGTTCGCCGACATTCGACTGAAATATCCCAAATGACTGCCGTGAACTTTCATAAAAAACCTTTGTGGTCCCCAGAGGACGAATCCCCGTGACTTTGGTGCTCCACTGACTTTTAAAAACATCTACCACAGCGAGCAGGTCAAGGTTTGTCCAACGTTCTGGCACCGTTCCAGTTTGCAAACTTTTTATTTTTACTTTCAGGACGTCCTGCGGCGCCTCCCAAAGGACGAACTGTTGCATGCAGCACGTATACAGTTAGACCGGGACACACTGGTGTTGATGGTAGCAGCTGGTCTGGTTTGGTTTTAGACGTTTAATGAAGATTTCTATTGATTTCAGTCACTTTGTCTTAGTCAGAAAAACCAAAAGCATTTTAGTCTACACTGTAAAAAACTTAATTATGTTTTAAATAACTGGAAATATTTCAAAAATAATCACAATTTCAGCTGATTTAAGATGTGTATGTAGAAAGACTGGGTAGTTTTGTGGTCAAACATTGTAAAAGAGAAAATTACT